TTTTTTTTTTTTTTTTTTTTGTGGAACCAAGGACTGAACTCAGGCCCTTGCACTTTCCAGGGAAGTGCTTATTCTACTGAGCCATTTTCCCGGCCCCTGGCGCTGGGATTACAGGCATGTGCTACCACCCCTGGACTCCTTACTATCTCAGCATGCCCCAGGGCCAGCACAGCTTGAAGGACCAGCAATGGAACCCTGGTCCCTGAGCTTGCCAAAATAGGCGCTTTGTCTACTGAACTATCTCTTCGGGCCTACACACAAGCTTCTGATAAACATAGGATGATGGGGTCTGGGAACTCAGGGCAGTGCAGATCTCAGAGCCCGGCACGTGGGCTTCTTGTGTGAACCGAGGAGCTAGAGCTGACCTTAGCTTGAGTAGGTGACACAAAAAGGACTGTCCACCCTGAGCTTTTGCTTCTGTGGCTCCAGCTTGCACGGTGGCTGCCCTCGCTCTGTAGGGTGTCCCTTTCCTACTTTTGCTTGGCCCAATCTTGCTATATAGAGCCTGTTTCTTTCTTCACCTTTTTTTTTTCTTTCCCTACCTTTAACACAATTTTGCTGCTGTTCAGTCTTGTCTTGGCCAATTCTTTGCTCAGAACAGATAGATCGTAGATCAAAAATGTTTGAAGTCTATTTTTATACAAAGCAGCAGAGATTTAAAGGTAGGGAAGGCATGTAATAGGGGCTGTTCGTTTGTGAATTGTGCTTTGCCAAGGACCTTCCCCTCCTGTCACTTGGAATTCTAATTTTTTTTTTTTTTAAGTATTTGATACAGGGTATCACTAGGCAGCTCAGACTCACAGTGATCCTCCTGTTTTCAGCCTTGGAAACATGCCCTTGGTCTCAGTGCTTTTGGGGTTGGGGCCCATGCGGAGGTGGTGCTGTGGATCAAACCCTGGTCCTCGGGCTTGCCTAAGCAGGAACTTAGTCTGCTGTCCTATCTCACTGGCCCTGGAATTCTAAAGTTTTCTTTTCTTTTCTTTTTTCCAGTACTGCAGATCAAACTTGGAACCTTGAGCTTGCCACATGCTCATGCCGCTGAGCTGTCACCCCAGCCCTGGAACTCTACATTCTTTTTTTTTTTTTTTTAACCACAAATCATTTTTTTATTGTTTTTAAAATTTTTTTGACAGTTTCAAAACTGATTAATAGGACAATTTCAATAATTTATACATTTTACATTCTTACCTTCTTAGCGGTTATCCATAGTACAAGAGGCAGACAGACTATCCTGTCCAAACACTATTAGTACAAATCTTTCTTCTCATTGAATTAAGTGAAAGTAGCTGTATATCTATCCTAACTATTCTGCGTATACAGATACAAAATGGTCCTTCCTTTGTATCCCCTTTTTTTGTTTAGTCCTGTCAGAAATGGGTATTCCACTGGCATCTAAATACTATAGGTGTGTGAATTCAGCAAAACAATCCAACACAGTCCAGCAGTCCACAGTAGTAGTGGGTTGTCCACAGAAGTTTTTTTTTTTTTTTTTCCACAGAAGTTGTTGACTTGAGCCTTTCTGGAACTCTAAATTCTAAAGAGAAGCAGCACTCAATGAATAAGAGGCTAACTACCCAATCTCTCTCTCTCTCTCTCTCTCTCTCTCTCTCTCTCTCTCTCTCTGTCAATCAGAATCAAACTCAGGACCTTGCTCTTGCCAGGCAGGTGCTCATGCCACTGAGCTATATGCCCAGCCTCCCAATAATCTTTCTCTGAATTTATAAAATCTAGAACATGATAATCTCCAGATTATGTCAGAATGTGTCATGCTCCTCCCTGCTTAGCACAATGCATCCATGAATTCAAAGCACGAACACTGAACACTGTTGTGAGATTTTTGTTTTGAGACAGGGTTTCATTATGCAGTTCAGGCTGGCCTCAAACTGGCGACGATCTTCCTTCCTCAGCCTCCCACTGGGTGTGCCACCAAACCCCGCTTGTTGTGAGATTCAACTTGGGGGAGGGGGATGTTTGCGTAAGGAATTAGAGGACCTAGTCACAAGAAATCAAGATTTATCTTTTCTTTTCTTTTCTTTGGTGGAACCGGGGATTGAACTCAGGCCCTTGCACTTGCCAGGGAAGTGCTTATTCCACTGGGCCATCTCCCGGCCCCTAAGAAATCAAGATTTAATGTGATGTTCTGGTCAAAAAAGGGGGAAACAAAACAAAACAAAATAGCACAAACAGGCATGGTGGCACGTCTGTAACCCTGGCACATGCGAGGAGGGTGTTTTTTGTTTTAGACTACTACAGGCTGCCTTAAGGGCGGGTCTGGTAAAGCTTGTGGATCAGGGATTTCAACCGCGGTCCTATGTGCCTGACTGATTTGCTCAAGCGACGTTTTAAACCACTGAGCTATCGGGTAATCCCGGCACATCGGTCTCCCTGCCACCGCTGCCCAGGGATGGCAGGTCACGCTCGCTGATATCCGGCCTCAGTTTCCCCGCACGGCGCGCCTGCACCTTCTCTACGCCCCAGAA